ATAAAACTGTATAGTTCAGCATCACATCCCAGACACGATGTGTCTATACAGTGAAGATACAGAATCCTTGTATCAAGGACGCCCCTGTGGCCCTTCTGTAGCCATATCCACTTCGCTCCTGCCTCTCTGCCTCCACTAATCCCTCAGCTACTTACTGCTTCCTGTGTCTGTAATTTTGTCCCTTCAAGTACATTATATAAATGGAATCATAGGGGACTGGCTTTTTTCTTGGTATAATTGTCTGGATACTCACTGAGCTATGTTTTGTCCTTTGGGCCTTTCTTTGCTCACAGTGGGCTTAACCACTCACCCACTGAATAACATCTGGGTAGCTTCCAGTTTTCTACTAGCTCAAAAAAAGCTGCTATAAACATTTGAGAACAGGTTTCTGTGTGAACATAAGTTTTCATTTCTTTTGGATAAACACCCAGCAATTGCTAGATCACATGGTATATTTGCAGGCTTCTTTTTCTTCTTCTTTTTCCTTTTTTTAAGAATAAAAATGACAAACTATTTTCTAGAATGGCTGTAGCATTTTACATCCCCACAAGCACTGTACATGTGGCCCAGGTTTCCTCTGCATTCTGACCAGCTGGCCCCACTGTGTGCCTCTGAAAGGATTCAGAGAAGCAAGTAGGTGTTTTTGACGTTAGTTGGAATGATAAAAGAATGAGAACCAAAGAAGTCTGCAATAAACAACCCCAGTGCAGACTAATCACCAAGTGCTGTCCTCCTGGGCACCTGGGCCCTGGCCCATCACACAGAGCTTCTTAGGCAGAGCACAGGACCCCAGCATCATCTTGCTGATCTCTGCCTCCCTAGGGATGTGTAGCTAAGGCAGGGGAGTTGGAGAGCATTACAGGAGACAGCCACCCCTTCATCTTGACTTTGCCTCAGCTTCTCCATGAAACTAATTCCCCCCATGGATCAAGGTGGGTTAGCAGAGCAACCCTATCATCCCAAAGGCCCCAAAAAGCTCATTAGAGTTGGTATCACTAAAAGAAAAGGGTGTGCTAGGAAAAGCCTGCCCAGCCTGGCCTACGCCAGTTCAATGTGATCTCAGCCATCTTTACTGAATGCCCAATGCATGCATGGTCCTAGAGCCGAGGGGACCAGGGATGTGCAGCCAGCCTCGGCTCCCTACTTAGGGTTGATCTGTTGGCTGAGGGTAGATACACATGAAACTGTGTGAGTGAAACATGAGCTACTGTGAAGGTGTCTGCCTGGATGAGGAGATGCACTGAGGAGCAGCTGGGTGTCCTCAGAGGGGATAGGTATCCCTAAGAATTGGTCATGTGTGCTAGTCTCTGGTCAGCAGGGGGCCTTGGAAGACAGATGGACTAAATCATCTCCTCAGAGTCCCACCCAAAAGATGGTCTCTTTGGCAATTAGCCCCTAGATCTCCCTCCATCAGAGGGCCCTAAAGCATAGGTGGGAGCAAGATAAAAATAATGTCACAGCCCAGATACCCTGGACTCTTCTGGTCACACAAAGGATGCTAATCAGTTCTGATTCCTACTTCGAGGGCATCAGGGGATGGTGTCTCATGAGGGCAAGTCAGGGGCACCAGGCTGGTGCAACCACTGATGGGAGCCACCAGGAGCCATGGATGTAAAGGGCAGAAGCATGAGTAAGGAGCCTGGCCTCACAGTGCTGAGCTTCGGTGCCAGCGCTGAGTGCCCACCTGAGCTACAGCAAGTGTTGTTCTTGCAGTCCTACTGTTGGTACTGAGCTGATTTAGTCCTTCAATGTCTCAATATCAGGTTTTCATCACAGAAATGAGGCACTTAGGAGATCTCACTTAAATTCAGGCCTCCAGTCGCTCTTGCCTCCCCACCTGCCTTCCTGTGCAGAATGCGACATGGCACCCAGGTGCATGCCTCAGCCTCCCTCAGGAAGTGGGGCTCCACTCACCTCCCCATGCAGCCTGTACCTATCCCATGTCTGATCTCTGGCTTCCTGTGGACATGTGCCCTGAGCTGGGCATTCCTTCACACCTGGGCCTTGTCCTTCTAACCAAAGCTGAGGCTGCTAGAGCAGGCCATGGCATCAGGCCTGCCTGGGGCTTAGCACTAGGCCCCTGCCAGCACTGCTGCTTGGTGACTGTCTAGGAAATCCTGACTGTAAACACCGGCCCTCTCCAGCCTTAGGAGGTGTTGCTGGCTCTCAGCAGCTTTCCACAGCACAGGGGCGTGGCTCCACCAGGCTCAGGCAAACCAGTCCTCTGCAGGCCTTTCCCCACTCCAGACCCAGGTCCTGAAGGCCTCATGCCTAAGACTCACAAGGCACGGATTTTGTAGTTGCACAGCGGGTGTCCCTTCAGGGACCTGCCACTCTTTTGCTTTCTCCCTCTGAAATGAGAAGATGGGATCCTGTTGTGACTTCCTTCCTAAGCCACAGCTTGGCAGTAGTGGCACTGCCAGTGGTCCTATGGCTTGTCAGAAGCCCCTCCCAGGAGCTTTGGTCTCTGACATGTCAGGGAAAGAGGTGCCTTTATACGCAGAGACCTCCATCTCCTCTTGCCTAGGGCTCCTCCCCTTCAGCATCTCAGTTCCACCTGCCAAGAAAGGACCTTTACACTTCATCTTTCGTGTGATTACATTTCATTTTGCAGGACCCACACCCTACCCTAAACTTCCCATCTGCTTCCCAAAGGTGGGACTGGGCTCTTTAATGCCAGGTGGTTGGGCGGGGGGGGGGGTTCGTCCACACATACCCCTGTTAGGGGCAGCATCCCACAAGCTCCCAGCCCTGCTCCACCAGCCTAGGCCTCTGTCCAGCTTCCCACCCTCCCTCCTCCAGGTGGTTAAAACAAGCCAATCAAGGGCAGCTCAGAGGTAGGGGACAGATCAAGGCTGGGGCTAGGAGAAGGATACTTTTTCAACCCTGGGACCTTTTAGAAGTGACCGGGTTAGAGGATGGGGGGGGGGGCAGAAAAGGTGATAAAGGGGAAAGAATAGGAACCCTACACTGGGAGATTCCAGAACCAGATACCTGCTGGACAAATGACAGCGCTACCACTGACCAGCCTCTGATGTCCTCCATCTAAGGGCTCCAGTCCTGCCCTGGAGCCCTCTCTTTGGTGTGAAGCCCCCATACTTAAGCCAACTTTGCTGCTTGAGAGTTAAGAGGGCCTTCAGATGAAGAACCCAGAATAATAAGCAGAAACAAGAGAGCTGCTGATGTGCAGGGTTGAGCTGAGGGTCTGGAAGCACATCAGGGTCCTTGGCTAAGCCTGAGGCAGAGACAAAGGCCTTTTGGAAGGTCACGTGATTCAGTAGGGCAGGTCAAAGTGCCCTGTGGGTGTCGGTCAGACATGAGGTCATGCACCTCCATAGGCCTTAGTTTCCTCATCTGCAAACTGCATGAGGGTGCTAGAAAGACTTCCAGAATCTTCTCTGATTTTCATCTGAGGAAACTGACACCTAATGAGGAAGAATTTGCCACTAAGTCTGTGGCAGAGTGAAAACCAGCATCTAGGGACCCTCTCTCACTTATTCAGGGCTCCTGCTATGACCTCCTTTCTAAACAACAATCAAATGCACAGATGCTCACTAATCCTGTAATCAGAGTGAACCATGGGGGACAACTTTCCCTCCTTACCATGGAACAGCAAAGTCTTGCAGCCTGAGAAGGGCCCAGAACCAAGGCCACTGGACATCTTCCCTCAGGACAGAATAGAGAAAGAATCGTTTACCCAGTACAAGGGGCTAAAGTTGGACCAAGCCAACGGGCCGGGTCACGTATCCCTGCAGCAATTGTGGGATCAGAAGCCATGGAATCTGTGAGGCAGGGCTGGACTAGGATAAATGGTTTTATCAGCTTCTAACCTCAAAGTTTCCTACCAGCAGGGATGAGGCATCAGCAAAACTAGCTGGACCGCCAGGGATGCGGAGGCCCTGTGGATCTGGAGGACAGCTCTTGAAGAGCAGCTGCTCCCTTCCTTCCTCCCGCCCCACCCAGAAGTGCTCAGGTCCTCACAAGTACTAGCAGGCTCCAGCTTACTCAAGGACAGTTGTGCACTAGGCTCCTCTGAGCTCCTCCCACAAGCTCTCCACTTACCTATCCTCTGTAGACCTGAAGCAAAAGTGATTTAAGTGTCCCACCAGCATCAAAATCCTGAGTCCCAGTGTTTTCCAGGTCTGTCAATGCTGGCCTCTAGTTTGGTCATCTAACTGCTGCATAATAATATTCCATGGTAGGGATATGCTACAGAGCACTCTCTACTTTGCTCTCAGTGGATATCTGGGTTGTTTCCAGATGTCTGTTATTACACACAATACTGCTACTTAAAGGAATCAATATGTTTTCTTGGAGATTAATCAATACATTATTGAATAATCAATGGATCACAGGAGAAATCAGAAAAAGAAATAAGAAAGTTTCCAGAATCACATGACAATGGAAGCATAATATACCCAGACCCATGGGATGCAATGAAAGCAGTATCTGTAAGTGCATATATAAAAAGAGCAGAGTGAACCTGAATACATAACTTAATGATGCATCTCAAGGTCCTAGAAAAGTAAGAATAATCTCAATCTGAATCTAACAGACAAAGAAATTGTAAAGATTGGAGTAGAAATTAATGAAATTGAGGCTAGAAAAAAATAACTTAACAGACTAATGAATCAAAGAAGTGATCTTCTGAAAGGATCAGAAGGGGATTTGCAGATAATTGGATGGGAGGAAGGGATAGGAAAGGAGAGAAGGTCAGGATGCAATATGTCTATGTACCAGTTAAGATAAATTTATTTATCTATGATATGTTTATGTACCAGTAAATATAAATATATTTATTATATATTGCAAAAACATACTGATAAAAATTGAAGGAAAAAAAAAAAAAAGAATGTGAAGGACGCTTTGCTGGGGCCAGGGAATTATGGAAGGCTTCCCAGAGGTACAGACTGCAGCTTTGATATCACACCTACCACTCAGGAGCCCACAAAAGCAAGACAAGTGACAACCCTAGACAGAGCCCAGAGTTGGTCCCCTACCTGCTGTGCAGGGGCTCGCCCTCGGGAGAAGGAACTGCCACCGTCCAGCTGCTCAGTGCAGTCCGCTGTCCACTGCAAGGCAAAAGGGAAGGGTCAGTGATGGCAGGACAGGCTTTCACTTTTCCAGCCTCCCAGGTGTACTCCTGCTCCTTGGCAAAAAGCCAGTGAGAACTCAACATTCTTAGTGGCAGCTCCTTCCCCACCAGCAGGTCTGCAAATGCCACATGAGGTGACTCCCTGGTATATGGCTGGGGAAGGTGAATTCATTCCCTTCGTCTAAATCTACTGAAGTGATGAGGATCCAATTGCATTCTAAAGTTAAAAGTATGATACCAGGTTTTCTCAGTTTTATACAACCAGCCCCATGTTTCACTGCCTGACCTGGCTCTAGCCATACTGATCCTTTATTATGTAAAGGCTAGAATCAGAGGACAGGTAAGTATGGGCAGCTTTTCTTGTACATCCAGCTCTGCAAGCTGATGAACCCTGCATTAGAGAAAAGCCCCAGGCTAGCCATCAGAAGCTGGGCTCAAGCCCAAAGGACTGGGAGAATTAATATGTCCCTAAATGTGGTCTGAAAGCCACCTGTCTGAGAGTCCCAAAGTCTGCCATACAGAGGACCCTAGGCACCCAGACCTTATACCGACTGAATTAGACCCAGAAGGCTGGGCTGAGGATCACTATGTTGACAAGCTCCCCAGGTGATACACCAGAAGTTAGAGTGCCACTTAAGCCATGTAATCTCCCAAGCTTCATTTTGTCATCTATAAAATAAGACTGTGATGCTGGGCAACTCTGCAAGGTAGAGATGGGGGACTTTAAGCTATAAAAGCACCATGCAGGCAGGTGGCAGGCGCAGAAAGGCTCATCCTGTGTCAAATACTATTTAGTGGCATTTCTACTGCTGTGTTAAATGTTAGCTACTCTCTCTGCTGAACATGGATCTTAACCTACACTTTGTGTGATATGTACAACACAGAGGGAGCTCAGTCTCTATGTTTGACATCTCTGGTCAAAACTGTTGAGTGTGGAGGGTTTCAGGTTAATACAATCCTGTTTTCCTAAAACACTGGGTGGGCACCACCTCCTGACAGCAAGTCAAGGACACAACCTTTGTTCAAGAGACTTTTTATTATATTGATGATACACGTTGGGTCTAAGTATGCTACAGAGCACAATTATCCAACCAAAATAAAATGACAGCCACAGATAAGATGTTTTTCTGATGATTAGATTTCAAAAAGAAAGACAAAATCAAGTTAAATAATAAATTTTACTTAACCCATGATATCTAAAATATAGGTAATCAATAAAACAAATTCTTGATGAGATATTTTACAATTTTCTTGCCATATAGAAGTTTTGAAACCCACTAATCACACATCCCAGACTTGGCCACATTGCAAATGCTCAAGAGCCACACATGGCCAGTGACTGGTGTCGGACAAGCTTTAGAGAGATGGGCAAGGCAGCAGGTCCACTGCTTGCCCATCCCTGCCCATCCATCTGCTGAGGGCAAACTTGCCAGCCTCCGTGTAAGCAGGCTTTCAGCTGACTCAGCCAGGAGACAGGAAGAAGGAAGAAGCTAACCATGCTCCCTCTGTCGCTCAACTGTCTTTGCCTCGAGTGGCATTACTAGCAGTGACTGGGTCTTCAGGGCTCTTTCACTCACTGACTGGCTTCTGTCCTTGGCCCTGGGGCAGGGCTCTCGCAACTCCATCTCCTCCCCTGTGCCTCACGTTTAGAGACAAGTAACAGCTACATGTGGCTGCTAATTTCTGATAATTGAGCTACAGAGCTCTTTCATCATCTAGGTAGAGATGCTCTGCATTAAATCCCCCGGTGGATAATTGTAGTCACAAAGTATCTCCCTCTACACATTTATTAATTGAAAAAATAAGAAACTCAGCTTTTACTTTAACCAAGTGAGCGAGGCTAATATTGCCAGTAATAAGATGTATGAACATCATAGGCTCCTAATCGGCTGAGCACGGCACATCGCTTCTGAGGTACTCGTCCCTGAAGTCCACAATCTCAGTGTCATCATAAGAACACCAGACAGGCCATGTTAATGAACTTTCCAGAACATAAGAAACTATCAAAATGTGGGGGAAAAAAAGAAAAGATCAAGAAAGTATCACAGAGTGGAGAATAAGGAGACAACAATTCAATGTCAATTTGGATCTTAGAATAGACAAAGGACAACAGTGGAAAAACTAATGAGCTCTGAGTAAAATCTGTAGTTAATAGCAGTGTACCATTGCTAATTTCTTGGTCCTGATCACTGTAAGATGTTCATCTTAGAAGGTGGGCTGCAGGGAACACTTGAAATGATTTTGCACCTTGGCTGTAAGTCTAAAATAATTTCAAAGCAAAAAGTGATATATATGTACACACAAACATACATATGTTATGTATACATATAGACATGTATTATGTAGACACTATGTACACATATGCATGAATATAAGTATGCATGCGTATACATTTTGGATTAATACATATATGTATATATGCATGTACATGTGTTTATGTATATAATGTTAACACTGCTAGTGGTTTTTTCTATACTAGGTGGAGCCTGGCTGATAAGGTGGGGACAGCTAAGAGTTAAGGGGACTACTGCTGGTCCTACCCTAGGATAGACTCTCAGAAAAAGCTTTTCCTTTTCCAAGTGCCCCAAATATCTAAACTCGAGTGCCAATGTGGGTCAGCCTGGCCCCTGGCAGGGTGGACTCTCCTGGTGAGTATACCTAGAGATCAGGCTGCAGGCATGGTTGGATGCAGGCTTTTCCCTTGTGATAAACTGTCATGCAATGTCTCTAAGGTCCAGGGATGGTCTTGCATTGTCAAAGGTCCTAACTCCACATTTGCCAGGCAAAAGTCATCTCCTGAGTCACTTCTGTGTGAGAGCCACAAAAAGCATAGGCCCTTGTTGGGTAGTGAGCATGCTGCCCCACAGTGAAGCAGGAGAGGTCAGGATACACGCAGGGATGAAGAAGGAGCATAGACCCAGAGGAAAGGGACATGGGCAGCCGAGGTCCTGAAGAAGAGTAAACCCAAGCTTACAAACAGCTGTAGGGGGCATCTGTCAGCTTAGGGCAGACTGTTCAATCAGGCCAAAGAAGTCTGAGACATTTCCTCTTCGGACTTGAGCTGAGTTTGAGACCCTTCTCAGGACCGCAAAAGATGGCACTGACCCAGTTGGGAAGGGGTAGGGGTTAGTTAGTTCCTCGATTGTGGTAATGCAGATGGAAATGAAGAAAGGGACCTAGCATGTGGAAGAGACAAGCAGTCATAGAGAAAGTCGGGCAAGATGATAAAGCCCACAGAACCCACTCAGCAACTGATGGGCAGGGCTGGATACAAGCACAGTTTCCTTCAGAGCCTTCTGGGCACAGAGCTTGAGGCACAATGTGGTCAAGTAACTTGTCCAGCTCTGGCAGAATGAGCAATCGGCATAAATAGGTGTTCACTTACACAGCCAGACAAAATAACTGCTGATAAAGGCCACGAATGCACTCAGATCCATAAAGATCACAGCCAATTTTTTTCTTTCTGCTATAAAGGATTTTATTGGGAAAACTGGTGAAATATAGGAGCTGCAGATTACAGTATTATATCAGTGTTTACTTCCTATAATACGATTACCTAAGGGAATATTCTTGTTCTTAGGAAGCACACTGGTGTTCAGGTGTAAAGTGGTGTCATGTCTACAACTGATTCTCAAATGGCTCAGAGAAGAGATACCTCTCTGTCTCTCTACATATACTTAGATAGAGATGCATAAAGATATAGATAGTACATGCTGTTTATTTATTTAGAACATAAATATGATAAAATATTAGCAGGGTAAGGAATATGAGAATTCTTTATAATGTGATTGTGATTTTTTATATATATTTGAAATAATTTCAAAATGAAAAAGTTATCTAAAGGGTCAGTTTACCCAAGACCTCCTAACTTCCCCATATAAAGAGCATCAGGACCACCCAATGGGAAGTCTCAGGTCTCCATCTCTCTTGTTTCCTTAGAGAAGAGGCACAAGTCCTCCCAGGCCCGAGGGAAGCCCTGACAGCTGGGTGCTCATCACGCTCCTCCTGCCCTCTACTCACTCTGCTTGGCCTCAGTGCTGAGCCCCACACCAGAGCTTTGTGTTCATCATTCCCTGCGCCTTGAATGCTGTTTCCCAAGTGGTCTCACTTTCTTACCTTCTCCGAGTCATCTCTCAAAATCCTCCTTCCAACTGCTAGCATTCTGCCAACTTCCTGCTTCACCCAAGAATATTCACCTCCTAACATCTGATTTCCTGTCTTTCCCAGCAAAAGGAAGTGCCAGGGATAGGATGGCTGGTTTTGTTTATGACTTTGCCCCAGAGTCTGAGTGAATAAACATCAGCTCCAATATATTTTACTACTACTACTTAGCCTATAGTACCTGGCAGAAAAAGAGCTGATTGAAGCAATTATACTATATTCTAAAGAGCCAACAATGTCTAGGAGACAGTGCTAAGTAAAAGAGCAAGATAAGGCTTACATGTATAGGAGTACAACTTTATTAAAGGTGTATAAAGGCAACAATAATATAAAAATTATATTAATCCTTGTCACAAAATGATAATGGATTCCCCCCTGCCTTGTTTTCCAATTGTTTCCATTTCTCTAATTGTTGCTTTAAAAGTAGGATAGGTTTTAACTAGGCTTGGTGACCCCCACCTGTAATCCTAGCTACTCAGAAGGCTAAGACAGGAAGATCACAAATTTTAGGCAAGTCTGGGCAACTTGATAAGACTCCACCTCAAAATGAGAAATAAAAAGGGCTGGAATAGAGCCCTTTTTATTAGTGGTATAGCACGTGCCTAGCATGTGCAAAGCCCTGGGTTCAATCCCCAGTACTGAAAAAAGAAGTAAATAAATTTTAACCTATTTTTTAAAAGTGACTAGCAGAAAGATTAAAAAATGCTCAATTTTACTAGAAATTAGAGTGATGCAATTAAAACTACAATATGCCGTAACACACTGGTGGCAATGTAAAGACTAGAACAGTCACTTTGGAGAGCCATTTGGCACTAG